CGTCTTCCTCGTCGCCATCGCCGCACAAGCCGTGGAGGTCCTCCTCGTCGTCGTCGCATTTCTTGGAACACCTGCCGCTCCACTTCGAGCATTCGGTCGCAGCGGGACAATCTCCTTGGGGTTCATCTTACCAGAGCGTTGTGTTTTTTTATTGTATTATCATTACTACTATCATTATGTCATCAGTATGATTATCTTTATTATCATCATTATGATTAGCTTTATCATGTCTGCAATTGGCTTTATTATCATCATTAATCATTCACAGTTACTATCGTTACTCCTGCTGTTACAACTACTGCGCCAGGCATACCACAACTACTACTACTATTGCTATAACTTCCACTACTATAACTACTACTACTACTATTACTCTACTACCACTACTGCCACTAATATTACTATTATTCACTCTCACTGCTACTACTACTACGTATCTTAGTTCCTATATCGAGCGCAGCCTTCACAATTTCAGAGACCTTTGGGGCTGGATGAGGGGTGTTTGGACAAAGAAAAAAAACAACAACAAACAAACATGCAAGGGTCATTAATAAACACTAACTGGTTATTCTGCCTTTTCAGTGCATTAGGGAAATGGCGTGGTGTTAGTTGTATATATATATATATATATATATATATATATATATATATATATATATATATATATATATATATATATATATATACATGTACAGAAAGCTCGATGAACTGCAAACGCACCGTATGAATTGATCTTTTAAAGAATATTTAATAATTCTTTTGGCAATTTCAAAACCGAAGTGGGGTAGTACTTTATTCACAGTATACATCCTCTAAACACTGACATATTAGTATGCTACAGTATTACCTCATTGTAGAATGCCTTTCTTGAAAATCAATTTCAATCGTTCTCTTTAACATTGGCATTTTTTCAGCTATAACATAATGTTATTTCTCTCCCTCACTCTCTTTCTCTCTTCCCTCTCTCGCTCTTTCTTTTTCTCTCTTACCACCCTCCCTCTCTCTCTCTTTCTTTTTCTTCCCTCCCCCTCCTCTCTCTCTCTCTCTCTCTCTCTCTCTCTCTCTCTCTCTCTGTGTGTGTCTATCTATTCAACCATCTTTCCATTTGTCTACCCATCTATATGATATAATTTCACTTTCATATCGCGCAACATTTGGACAAAGGAGAGTGACCTCTCTTCCACAGCGCCCTACCTGGGACGCAGCAGCGGCAGCCTCCGCCCACGCACAACCCGTCAAAGGGCGTCTCGTTGCGGTTGCAGCGGTCATCACAGCGACCCGACATGGCCTTGCAAGCGTCGGTCTTGCTGCAAGATCTCGCTGCAAAGAAGCTGGAAAACTTAACATGTGGAAAGAGAAAGAGAAGAAGGGAAATGAGATGAAGAGAAGAAACAGAAGGCGAATAAGAAGGAAATAAAAGAAGAAAAGACAACAACAAAGATTACTGCAAAATTTCCCTTTGAATATCCAGCAAAATCAGCAAAAATAGAGGAAATTAGTCTTATATACAAATTTGTCTGTTAACCCAAGATACTAAGTTTTAAACATCTAATAGTGAAATACTAACCGGTAGGATGAATGTTAAATCAGACATTGAACCTGGTTTATGCATATACACACCTTTACGTGCTTACGTATATAAACACACACACATGTATGTATGTACGTAGGTAGGTAGGTATGTATACACGCAACCAGTGATACCACCACATACACTATAATTATCAGTGTCCCTGTTACACCATCACTATGTCCATCATCCCCACCCCTAAATACCCCCCCCCAACCACCCCAGACTAGGAAAGAGAGCAACCTTTAACGCAGCAGGTGCAGTCTTCCTCGTCGTCGTCGTCGTCTTCCTCGTCGCCATCGCCGCACAAGCCATGGAGGTCCTCCTCGTCGTCGTCGCATTTCTTGGAACACCTGCCGCTCCACTTCGAGCATTCGGTCGCAGCGGGACAATCCCCTTTGGGTTCTTCTTACCATAGGGTAGTGTTTTTATTAGTTGCATTATCGTTATTACTATCATTATCGTCATCATCATTGTCATCAGTATGATTATCTTTATGGTCATCAGTATGATTAGCTTTATTATCATCATTATGATTATCTTTTTTATCATCAGTATGATTATCTTTATTGTCATCATTATGATTAGCTTTATCATGTTCACTGCAATTGCATTTGATATCATCATGAATCATTCACAATTACTACCGATACTCCTGCTGCTACAGGCATACTACTACTACTACTACAAATACTACTATTACTACTACAATTTCCACTACTACAACTACTACTACTATTACGCCTACTACCACTACTACCACTAATATTACTATTATTACTCTCACTGCTACTACTACTACGTATCTTGGGTCCTAATATCGAGCGCAGCCTTGACAATTTCAGAGACCTTTGGGGCTGGATGAGGCGGGTGTTTGGACAAAGAGAGAAAGAAAAAGACGAAAAACAAAAACAAAACAAAAAAACAAAC